CAAGTTGGACCTTCTCTGTTCTCTTTGTTGGCGAAAATGACAATTCTTTAACAAGACCAGTCATCTGTATATGTGAAGTTACTTTCTTAAAGCCCAGTGAGGCAAAGCTGACACCTTTCCTATCCACTGACACCTCTTGTGGTGTCTCGTCCAATATGGACTGGGGCGGTCGGGAAGCACAGGGGTTCAAGCGTTTGCTCGTCACGCCGCAGACCCGGGTTCGATTTCCGACATGGGTATAGTGCGTGAAGTCCATTTCTGGTACCCCCCACCGTGGTTTTGCTAATATTGCCAAAAACGGCGTAAAACAACGGCTCATTCACCCCAATATGGACTTCAAAGAAGCAACCGAAGATCCTCTATCTGGTCATCCTTGCTCCTCATACGTCAGTTGAAGACTTCACTTTAGACAGCAATGCTTTCGTCGACTCAAATGCCTGTTCTGTTGGTTTCAGGACTTTATGTGACTTTGCGTCTACTTCTGAGAACATGGCGGCTTTCCAAAACCTAAGTTCCTCCATCAGACTGTTGAAGGTTCTATTGATGTTTTCTTTAACATATCTCTTAATCCCCCAATATGGTCAGATTTCAACTTGAGACTTTCAGCCATCTGTTCCAGTGTTGCACCTTTTTACTTCTGATATCGTGAAGACATCCTCATATTCATCTGCCTTCAATTCGTGTTCGTTTTCAACACCTGCGACTTAGTGTCCATTGCCTTCTGAATGTTCCACCACTATACAGGAAACACAGATGACCTCATCACAAGTGTGGCAGTAGAACTGCAGAGGTTGGTTGTGCTGTACACGCTGATGAAGTCTTTGATAAGTCTTAGCATAGCTATTTATTGTTGCTTAGAACATGCGATCAGTTTCTAAAGCTTGTATAACTTCTTAGTTTGTATGCAGAACCAAAAGGGGCCGATTTCACTACCTCCAACCTTTAACAGACGTATCTGAAATCCCATTTAAGTAGGTTTACATCCAACCTTTAACAATCGTATTTGAAATCCCATTTCAGTTGATCTACATCCAACCTTTAACCAACTTATCTGAAATCCCATTTAAGTACATGTGTAGATCTACATCCAACCTTTAACAGACTTATCTGAAATCCGATTTCAGTTTATCTACATTCAACCTTAAACAAAGGTATCTGAAATCCCATTTAGGTAGGTCAACATCCAACCTTTAACCGACTTATCTGAAATCCGATTTCACTAGATCTACATCCAACCTTTAGCTGACTTATCTGAAATCCCATTTCAGTTTGTCAACATCCAACCTTTAACAGACGTATCTGAAATCCCATTTCAGTAGGTCTACATCCAACCTTTAACAGACGTATCTGAAATCCCATTTCAGTAGGTCTACATCCAACCTTTAACAGACGTATCTGAAATCCCATTTCAGTAGGTCTACATCCAACCTTTAACCGACGTATCTGAAATCCCATTTAAGTAGGTCTACATCAAACCCTCAACAGACGTATCTGAAATCCCATTTAAGTAGGTCTACATCCAAACTTTAACAGACGTATCTGAAATCCCATTTCAGTAGGTCTACATCCAACCTTCAACAGACGTATCTGAAATCCCATTTCAGTAGGTCAACATCAAACCCTCAACAGACGTATCTGAAATCCCATTTAAGTAGGTCTACATCCAACCTTTAACAGACGTATCTGAAATCCCATTTCAGTAGTTCTACATCCAACCTTTAACAGACGTATCTGAAATCCCATTTCAGTAGGTCTACATCCAACCTTTAACCGACGTATCTGAAATCCCATTTAAGTAGGTCTACATCCAACCTTAACAGACGTATCTGAACTCTCATTTCAGTAGGTCAACATCAAACCCTCAACAGACGTATCTGAAATCCCATTTCAGAAGGTCTACATCCAACGCTTAAATATAAAGGAGTGATGGTGCCTTAAAGTGCAGACCCGGGTTTTCATATCTCACATTACCCAGTCGTCTAAGACGCCGGAATTCGTAGTGCACGCCAGAAATATATGATCGTGGGCTCGAATCCAGGTTCGCCCCGATAATGTTTCTAGGTTTGTCAGCACCATACCCGTACTCTTGGGTTTCACTGAAGTGGTAAACGTCTGAGACCTGCATCACTTCGGGCTTTCCTCCCACATTTAACTGACACGCCATAACTGGAGTACTGTTAAAAGCTGCGTTTTTAAAGCAACAGTTTATTACACTCACACACAGTTCTTCACTTACAGTAATGGACGTGTAACAAAGACATTTCATGACGGTTCATCCCTGTATATAACACTCACAAAAAATCGGGCGGTCGGGTAGCCTGGTGGTTAAAGCGTTCGTTCGTCATGCCGAGGTGAGGTGAAATTGGGTTTAACGTCGCGTCCAAGATTATTGCACTTATATATATAGCGACGTGCATGCACGTGTGTGTGTGTTTGTGTGTGTGTGTTTGTGTGTGTGTTTTGTGTGTGTGTGTGTGTGTGTGTGTGTGTGTGTGTGTGTGTGTGTGTGTGTGGCTGCTTGTACTAGTCCGGGCTGATGCCGATTTATAGTGCTAGCCCACTGAGATAACATGCCGCAGTTTAACATGAATACCCCACTCAGACACAGTATACTGACTCCGAGCCGACCAGTCCTTGTTTTAGCCCCTTAATGCCGAGCGCCAGACAGGGTAACAACAAGTACCATCTTTTAACGTCTTTTGGTATGACGCGGCCGGGAATCGAACCCCGGACCTCCCGCTCTCCGGGCGGACGCTCTACCACTAGACCACGGAGGCGGTCTCGTCACGCCGAAGATCCGGGATCGATTCCCGACATGGGCACAATGTGTGAAGCCCATTTCTGGTGTCCCCCGCCGTTATATTGCTGGAATATTGCTAAAAGTGGCATAAAACCTCACCCACTCACTCACTCACTCACTCACTCACTCACTCACTCACTCACTCACTCACTCACTCACTCACTCTTTTATCTGAAATAGTTTTTGCCTGACATTATACCCTATGTTCTGGACACACATAGCACGTTCGTACTAATTCAAAATACATTTTGAAAGGATTGCTAGGCAAGCCATTCGTTTGATATGTTCACGGTGTGTGTGCGCGTCAATAAGTGCGTGCATGTGTGTGTGTGTGTGTGTGTGTGTGTGTGTGTGTCTGTGTGTTATTAATTACATGGTTATATTTCTTTAATAATCTTTCATCGAAGATATCAGGAGCGCCTCCATGGTCTAGTTGATAGAGCATCTGCTCGGAGAGTGGAAGGTCGGTGGTTCGATTCCCGGGTCATACCAAAAGAACTTATAAAATGGTACTTGTTGTTACCCTGCCTGGAGATCGACATTAGGGTATAACAAAGGACGGTACTGTATCTGAGTGGGATATCAATGTTGTCTCAGTGGACTAGCACAATAAAACCGGCATTAGTCCTGCCTAGAAGGACACACACACACACGTACATGCACGACACTATATAAGTGCAAATAATCTTTAAACCTTTAATCTTTATATAAACGTTAAACCTAATTTCACCTCACCACCTCCTTGCAAAATATCAAAATATCCAAGATCAGAAGCGTCTCTAAAATACCTACCTCACCCCGAAATTAGCATCTACACCACACATGAAATGTTTATGTCTGAAGGGGGATAATCCACATTTAACTTAATTTACACGATGGACCTGAGGGATATTTCATGTTCGCTTCCGAATAATAATGTCTTTCCAAGGTTTTTGTTTTATTTGTCTGTAAAATATTGTCAAGATTCGTTCTGATAACATATTTAACATTGTAGATATCTGGCAAATCCACATTGAGAAAAGACAGAATATGGTTTAATCAGTCACATGACACCAAGGACAGGCTTCACAGAGTGTATCCATTGTGCACATGTTTATGCTCTATGCTTGGAGTCGAACCCGAGTTTCCTTTGACAAGCGACCGCTATAACCACTAGGCTATCGTTAAGGATTGCTTCCATATTCGGTATGTACATGTTGGTATATGTAGTGTTAAAAAAGACTATATTATCCTATGTATTACATGTGTATATTCACCTATCGCCAGAAGAGGTAACCATAGCCCCATCAGGCGAAACATAGTCATCCAGATGGACAATTTGCTTTTTGTTTATTCAAATAAATTATTAAATTTTCAGAGATATGGATGTTTTCCACGCTATGAGGGACCACATCAGACATATTTGGTGTATCTTTTTGTGTATGAATGGTTCTAGATACATTGTACAGCTTAGTGCACTAACCTAACTCCCCTCCCCTAATATGAATATTTTTTAATGATCCTCGGCTATGCCCTTTCTACATTTCTTCCATGACCCTCCCTGAAAAGACAAAATACAAAAGCACTTTATATTATTTTTTATATAAAATGTCATTTTTTTATGACCCTCCCAAAACATATACATTATTTTGTATGACCCTCCTCCAGAGACATTTTTGGGTGACGCCTCCTCCCCCTCTGTAATAAATGACCGCTCCCTTAGTCATCCACGAATACGAGTTGCGTATTTGTTTTATAATAATATTTTTTCTCTAATAACTTGTTGCATTTTTGGAGATATGGATGTTTTCCTAACTATGATTTCGTCCATCATTTTGTGTATGAATAATAATGTATGAATAGTCATCGACACTTGAGATATAATCACGAAATACCGCGATAATTTTTTAACGAAGATGGCTGCGTGTGTGCTAATACTTATTAAGTATAAAAAGTCATTCAACCGATAAGGAATTTAACTTAGAGCAATGACAAAAACGCTTTTCAAGAAAAATTCGTTTTGCATGCGTTAAACATCATCATTGAATTTTGATCACGTGGTTACAATCCGGGTACGTGTCAGTAGCCAATTGACTGTGGGTGGTTATACTTAGCGAGTAGCTATATAGTGACGAGGACTATAGATACATTTAATAATAATTCTTTTAATTTTGCACGTGTTATAATTGCTCCCGGCGTGTGTTGGTAACCACGCCGCTGGATGTTGCAGGATGCGGTACGTGGCGGCCTACCTGCTGGCGGTTCTGGGAGGAATGAGAACCCCTCCGCCAGGGACATCAAACAGATCCTCAACAGTGTCGGCGTGGATGCCGAGGAAGACCGACTCGCCCTCGTCATCAGTCAGCTGAAGGGCAAGGACGTCGAAGAGGTCATTGCTCAAGGTCAGTGGCGAAGGGACGGAAATACAGTACTGGAGGACTAAAGGGATCGGATGGTCAGGCTCGCTGACTTTGTGGATGCATGCCATCGTATCCCTATTGGGTGGATCGATCCTCATGATGTCAGTCACTGGATTGTCTTGTCCAGACACAATTATTTACATACTGCCGTCATATTGCTGGAATATTGCTGAGTGTGGCGTTAAACAATAAACAAACCAAACAAACATAGGTCTAGTTGATTTCATTTGTAGATATATCAACCTTTTGGGGGAAAAAGACACTTTATTGTGTATTGCAGACTGACAAATCATAATGTTGAACGTCTTTTTCTGTTTTCTTCCCTGCAGAAGATAAGCCTGCAGATGATAACACCGACTCAGACTCTGACGGAGGACTTATCTCCCTTTTCGACTGAACATCACGTGACTTAGTTCCCGAGGGTGGCGCCACGATCTTCAACAGTTCAGAACAGGACAACATGGGGCAATGAGCAGCTTCATCGTGTGCAGCATACATTGTCCGATGTGTGATGTACAGGATTAGGAATATGTGAATGTGCAAAAGCAAAGACAATTTGAATCAGAGCAAAGTCATTGTCGAATCTCTTCGCATCTGTTGAACAGTTTGATAGAATGTATTTATTCAATTCAGTGAATCAGTTTTGACAGTTTTAGACTGTTTTGTTGAATCCGTCCTCATGATACATTACTTGTTTTTAAAGAGTACCGCTGTATGAGGGTGCCAACCCCCTCCTCCCCTGAATCGCGAATACCATCTATTTGTTCACTCTGAGTCTCCTTTTTTACCCCGAATCCTAAATACTCATAAAACAAATCTCAAAAACATTGAAAAAGTCTGATTTTATGTAAACTTACTCGAATTTTGTTTATATATACATGTATGTAAAGGAAATGTTTGCGTCGTCCATTATTGATTTGAAAATGTTGAATACCATATACGATTTAACATGTCCCGCGTACTATACTGCTGAGTCCCGAATACCCTCTAAGTAGACCCCTGAATCCTGCTACCAGATGGGGGATGGCAGTCTCTTGTGGGGTACTAGTATATTATGCGAAATGACAATAGTATGGCATTATTTGATATGTTTCAATGCCTCTGCGACGCTAAATTTGTGGTTTAACATGATATATCACACTCCATAGCGTGGTATAACATGAATCACTCTACTCAAAGTAAGGTACAACAAGATCCACGACACTCAATTTGTGGTTTAACATGATAAATTACACTCCATAGTGTGGTATAACATGAATCACTTTGAAGTAGTTAGAGCAAGATCCATGACACTCAATTTGTGGTTTAACATGATATATCACACTCCATAGCGTGGTATAACATGAATCACTCTACTCAAAGTAAGGTACAGCAAGATACACGACACTCTCTTTTTGTGGTTTAACATGATATATTACACTCAATAGTGTGGTATAACATGAATCACTTTACTCAAAGTAAGGTATAGCAAGATAGACGACACGTAATGAGTGCTATAACTTGACACACTCTACTCAAAGTAAGGTATAGCAAGATACGCGACCCTCAATGATGCTCCAAATTTTGATTTATTGTTTCAGGAAAAACATTTCATTTCCATGACAATATGTTTACATATCAACAAGCTCAACCTCCCCGTTTACATGTGCATTATGTCCCTTTGTTTCTGTGTGGTACAATGTGTCGTAGGTGAATGTATTTTTCATTTTTGTAATGGAACATTTCCAGGGCCCTAGTCTGCCTGCATAAACACGGAGAGAACAAAACGACAAGTGTCTGTCTGTTGTTTTTCATTTACATGTAAAGTGAGTGAGTGAGTGAGCACTCAGCAATATTCCATCTATATGTTGCGGGTCTGTAAATAATCGAATCTTGACAGACAATCCAGTGACTGACATCATGAGCATTGATCCACGCAGTTGTGACACGATGACATGCATCAACCAAGTCAGCGAGCCTGACCACCTGATCCCGCTAGTTGCCTCTTACGACAAGCATGGGTTGTTGAAGACCCTCACGGGTCGAGTGAGTGAGTGAGTGTGTGTATTACAATATTCTGTAATAGTATTTCTAAACTTATTGTAAGACTTCTCACTGACTCAACGACAATGCAATCAAGGCTGTGCTATTTACAGTAATCATTAATGTCACACAATCTATTTCAAACTTTCCACGAGCCGAAATAACACAAAACTAAAAACCAACATTTTATGTTTTATTTCACACAATTGATAAGCAAAGATATATGGACTATAATAAAAGATGATAATATGGATGTACATTGATTGTTTATTTCATGTTCTTTTCTTTTCAAAATATAAATTCAACTAAACAAATAGATGCTCATACAATACCATCAACAAAACCCTTTCCTTTTGGCGACCAACCAAACAATGCTGGCTAGGTGTTTCATTGACAAAAGCTCAAAATAGTTATGATTTATTAGAACATTCCATGATATCATCAATCTACATCAACAGAAGTGAAAAAGCCACCAAAATTATAAACTAAAGAACAAGTTGATCACTGTTGAATGTGTATACAAAATGGCACAATAAATATTTAACAGCATATGGGTTATATACCGGAAATGAATCCAAGTTTAAATTCCACATGAGTGAGTGAGTGAGTTGGGTTTAACGCAGCTTTTAACAGTATTCCAGTTATATCACGGCGAGTCAGCTTAATGTGGGCGGAAAGCCCGAAGTGATGCAGATCTCAGACGTTTACCACTTCGGTGAAACCCACGAGCACGGGTATGGTGCTGACAAACCTAGAAATATAATTGGGGCGAACCGGGATTCGAACCCACAACCATAGGTTTAGGGCGTGCCCAGGGGACGCAACTCTGCACAGCGAATCGCTGGGCCACCCCAAATTCATCATGAGTCCGACTTGCTGCATTGGAAACGAAAATAATATAAACTTATAAAAGTCTTCTGTCTGGAAAATTGCACTTTCAGCATTTTACTTTTACTGTATACAAAGCTTCAGTGTTTACTCAGGAACTGCCTTTTAGAACAAATGCTGGTGATGACAGTGAATTAAAAAATGTCTTATCCAAAATGCCGATGTGGCAGCCCCTATGAAAATCCATATACTTTTTTCATTGAATGTCCTTTATTTAAATCAGATAGAAACGAATTGATGCACTCACTTTTGTTTTTTGTGAAAGATGCTTGTGATGTAAATATTGACCTGATGCTAGTTGGCAATACCATTTTACCTAATCATGTGAACGAAAACATATTTAGGAATGTACTGACATATATAAAGTAAACAAAAAGGTTTGAGTGAGCAAAGCGAATGTACCAAAGTTTCTCTATTTCTTTTCTTTCCTTTCTGTCATTTAATTTATTAATTGTAAATAAGCATACATGTAAATCTATGGGAGAGAGCGTTCTAAGTGATGATATCTTGTGCCCAATCCTTTTCATGAGAATAAAATATGTTTAAACTTAAACTAATCAAATGCCGATGAAAGAGATGCATTTGAAACTATATTTAAAAAAGAATGATGCAAAGCAACGCCGGGTCAAAGACCTTCCGAAATGAAGACGAGCCGACATTTATTCGAGGAATCAAGCCCTGCTGTCTTGAAAAGGCAAACAAACTGAGGCATCAACACGGCGTCAAAACACCGTGAAATAAACATAACTGACAATACTTCTATATTCACAGTATTAAAATTGATGTCCAGTATATAAATATACTGCAAACGTTAAAACAGTACATCCGAACATTAAGAAATAACATGTAGAAATATATATAAAATGTTGTACATTTCAGGTAAGTTTGTAAATCTTCAATCGCCATTAAAGCGTACGTACAATATCTTCAGAAATTATCTCGCAAGAAATATCGCCCTCATTGTTGTAGCGAAATGTTTTTAGAAATGTTGGAATTCATGGCGCCTTTAAAATATACTTCATACCTTTCACAAAGAGTCTGAATGTATACAACACATGCCAATTTAAACCAAGAGAAAACAATACCATTTGAAAACATTGTATTTGTCCCAAAGTCTAAAATTGTCATCGCCAAATACACCTAGAAGAACACCTATTTAAATTACGTCGCTAATGATACGGAAAGCATAACCAAACAACTACAAAACATGTGACACTACCCATGTAAGAATACACAACGCATGCTGTAAGCTGTGCTGGCCTCATTCATATAGAATTTACATAACGATATCAGTTTCACATGCTGAAAGATGGATACTGTAAAACTAACAACGGAGTTACTTCACAAGCAGTCAACACTATGAAAAAAACCCATTGGTGGAACCAGAATCTATTATATGGTCTCTGTTTGAACATTTGTAAACTCCCAAAACCTGTGTGTTTGTTGTTTAACGCCGCACTCAGCAATATTCCGGCTACATAATCGAGTGTGGGCCAGACAACACAGTGGTTGATATTATGAGCAACAATCCACGGCGGCGGGGTACGTTGACAAGCCATCAACCAAGTCACCGAGACAACCCGATCCAGTAAGTCTCTTCTTACGACCAACATACAATGTAGTTTGTTAGGGATCAAATCTAACCCCAAATCCAATGAAAAGGACAATAAGTGTTTAAACATATAAAAAAATGAACACACTAATGGGCGCTAACGTACCGCTATTCACTGACAACTGAAACCATGTCAGAAGTTGTGACGTTTCATATTTACTCGTTTCCTGGGCCTATAATGGCCACATCAATGATGAAATGATTGATCATCTTATTGGTGGCCCAGTTTGTGCATGAGCTTACCGGACTCAAGACAGTGATTTGCGTGAATGTACCGCTATATATACAACCTTGCTTACGTGGTCACCATTATGGCTTACAAAGTAGACACAATTTATGGATAACTCTTTCTTTAATACTGTAAAGGCGACGTTTCGGTATAGATCCTTGTACCGTTGTCAAGCAAGGATCTATACCGAAACGTCGCCTTCGTCGGTATTCATAAATTGTGTCTACTTTGTCATCCGTCAACTTCCAAGTACATGAAATGCCTATCTAACAATTCATTATGGCTTTATTGGCATACAATGGTCACATTAAAGACGAAGTGTTATTTCTCTGTCTGCATCATCTGCTTGGCATCGTCAATCAGCTCGTTTTCCAGTTACTCGTGGATCAAGCTTTCGATTGCGTCATGCATGTTTCTGCCTTTCTGTGATGATAATTCACAGGTTAAGTGGGTGTTAGGATAAGATCCAAAATGAATCATGACCCAGAGAGGTTTATCAAACTGGAAGGGAGTTACAGATGTGACGAGTTTCTGTTGACTAAGGTCCAGGACATGGACTGTATGTTTTTCCTCTTCAAGAACGAATCCCAAACCCAGGCTGTAAGTTGCACCACTCTCGTTCAGTGTAAGGTTGTCATCGGACAGA